ATGTAATCAGGGCGAACGGACCAGATACCGATATATACAATGAATGAGGGATAGTATACGAAAAATTCCGGAAATAAATCTTAGAAAATTTAAAATCATGGGTGGAGTACTCGGAGTGCTATATATAAGATATCTGAGATTCATTGCATTGATACCGACCGTGCAAGGGCTATATATAGCCAGTCAAGGTTGTTAAAAACTTCCATCGTCATCATTGCATTGATTATATTATTGTTTCGTGAAGGAAAAACAATAGAATTAAATGAGGGAGTGAATTTACTGAAAAAATCAGTTTGATCTATAACTTCTAAGGATGCAAAATTGAGCTGTCACCTGTTGAGAGGAAAAGACTACCTTGTGCCAAGTTGTGAAACAAATCAACATTTCTGTATAAGGCAAAACAAATATATGTCTGCTTCCTGTTGGAAAGGGAGTCAGTGTTCTCCCCAGGATTTTTTAAATAGCGCTGTGGTAAGCGCGCGATATTAGATTGATTCACCTTTCGCGTTTGCGACGTAATGTTACATTTACTTACAACTGCTATGTTGGTTATATTATATTAAATAGAAAAAGACTTGCATTTTTAAATACATATATATATATATGCATTATCACAAATGAAGATAAGTTACATTTTTATTATTAAGCTTTTAATTAAAATGCCTAGATAATTTTAATAATTTGATTTCATTTACCATCCCTCTCCATCTTTTCTTATAAGAGTGATTATTTACAATGTAGCACAGTAGGTATACCTTTTGTCTTACTTTTAGTTGTTTTACTTTAATAAACTAGTTACGTATTTCATTTACAGCTTCATAATTAACTGACACTTGTTTTAAAAGTTTCCAATGACCAAATTGGACAGTTTTCATTTATTTTAATTAATATTTACATCTTTCAAATTAAAAAATCAGAATTAAAATCAAAATTTTATTTCATATCAAAGGAAAAAATGGATTACCCTTTCTATAAGTAATTAAAAGTAAATGCAGAGTTTAAATAAAAAGGCTAACATACTGTGGGTTATTAATGAAAAATTTATATTTGCCAATTCAAACATAGATACTAATTTTAAAGGTTGTGTTTGATAACTTTATAAATGTTTGAATTATTGCCACCAGAAATATTTGACAATACAGGTTTTAGCACTTTCCCGCCTAAATTGTCTCCCTTCTAGCTACAACTTCCTGTTCCTTTTACACTTTGACCAAATGGCTGTGTCTGTGTATCATTAAATGCTATTTCATATCCAAGCAATCCCCTGTTAATATCTATTTTAAAATAAACTTTAATCGACATTTATTGATAATTGGATGGCATAACACAATAATTTATATTTATTTAGGCGATTTTTTCGTTTTATCCTCTATTCGATTTTGATAAAGGAAAATGATTCAAGGAAAAGTAATCGTAAAATATGGGCTTGTAATGAATCCCTGGACAACGGGAATACTTCCCTCCAGCAATGAAGGTTCAACAGTTTAGTTGTGACCACTAAACAGTAATGAAATAATCATAAATGATTGAAAAAGTAGACAAGACCACGTTGTCAGAGAAAGGGTAAAATTTTCCTGAAATACTTTGAGAATGATTTATTGAGCACTATCCACCCATTTCATTAAGTTTCTGCACCTTTAAATTCTTAAAAATGGCAAACTCGGGGAAATAAATAGGTCATTTTGATTGTTTTGGCATAGTAAGATTCGGATCGGACCGGAAACGATTTTTTCCAGAATTTAAAGAAAAAATCCAGGTCGGGGGTTTTGAGTCCAGGTCGGTCGGGCAACAGGAAACAGACATATATTTTTTTTGGCCTAACCATAATTTATAATAAATAATTACTGAAAGGCATAGATTGTTTCTTACCTGCCCCAAGCTTGGTATTCACACTGAAACTTGGCATTCCCTTGGAACTTGGGTTTTCTTTGTGTGTGGAACCATATGGGATCCTGTTTTATTCCTGGCACGATGTGCACTGTACATATAGATAACCACCAAGTCCGCATTTCATTTCACCTTTAATTGTCTGATGACTAAGTATAAGAGGGCTGTTAAAACACCTCGAACAAAACTTCAGATGATCCAACAGAGTTCCCCATTCAACCAATCTTCTCCCCGAATGCCAAGACGTACTGGTGTTGATCTTAGAACTCCTCAAAAGTTTATCAATGCCGGGGCAGCAAACAGCACAGCCTGTTGCTCCCGCTGTACATAAATGTCCCACACCATAATTATGGTCGATTTCGATGCTTTCTTTGCATTCAGGTTCACTGGATTCCTGGATATTTTTCGAAAACCGCCCTCGTCTGTCACGACAGACGACCGAGTCGGCCATTTTGTGTTGTTGTTTACATTGGATATGATTATTACGTTACTTCCAAAACACATATTCGTACTTAAAATTATATATTTCAACTAAATTATTCAATTTAAATTTTGAACCGAAAGAATAGGTGTATTTGTCTAATTTTTTAAATGTGGCAAATGAAATTATTGAAATCGCCGGACATTACCGAGGTGAAAAGATAAAACCGAACTCGGTAAACTTCGACTAATTTTAGTCACGTGGTCTATTATGGTTCCGATACCTTAAAGACTTTTTTAGTACTTTTTTTGTATTCTGAACTCCTCCAAAACCAGAAGAAATCTTGAATTTTGCCATTACTTTATTTAAGGGTACCTATTTTGTATCATCAAATTCTTTACAATCCCCTATGACAATCTATTCAAGATTGTTCACAAAATTTTAATCAGTATAATGCCATTGTGAACCTCGTATTTTCTTTTTGGTCTTTATAGTATTTTTGAGGTTTTCCAGTGCAAATTTAGAACTATGCTAGGGATGGAGGTAACATTTTGAAAGCTTTCATCCAATCACTTCTTGTTTCTACAACTGTTCAAACATGAATCTAAATTTTTTTGTTTTCGGAAATAGACAGATTGGCAGGACTATTTCCTATTATGCATTATAATGTATTTAAAGCAAATAACATACACATATGATTAAAAAAATATGTGCATAATGTGTTTAATTTTATCAAATCAAGGGATTAAGGTACATAAGTGACTGTGTAGTTCCTACAGTTAACAATTTTCTAAAAGGATAAGAGTACTGCAAAATTTCAGCAATATAAGGCAAAACCTTATATGGAAAGCATGTTAAATGAAAGGCGACGAATGCAGTCATTTAAATTGACCAAAATGGCCCTTAAGGATGTTCGCTACTCTGTCTAAAAAAACAATTTTTTTAAAGACTGTTATAATTTGATAGTATATAAATAAAAAAACAAAAAAAGGGGAAAAAAATGAAGGGTCTGTGTGCTTTTTTTCGAGATATAAGCCATTAAAAATTTGGCGGGAAATAATTTTCTATAAATTTTTCCTACATTTAATATTGGCACCTTTTTTCTTTCAAAAATGATAGAAAAATAACAAGGATTTTGTAAGATTTTCAAAGATGACATTTTAAACTATATGTAATCAAATAATGGAAATAAAAGTAGGGGTTAGTGGGCAAAATTTTTTATGGCATTACATGGATAAAACCAGAGGATTCCGGATATCTGAAAAATTTCAAAAACAATAGGAGCGAACATCCTTAATCAAAACCTGAATTATTATTTGTTATATATTCAATATGTATTGTATATAGAATTGTAACTAATTTTTATCTTATAAAAATAAAATATTGTCATGGTTATAATAACTGCTGTAATAAATGTCAATAGACCACTTGCACATTAAATGGCGTTTCGCTTTCAAATCTGCAAAATATATCGACCGTAAATAGGTGGGGCAAAATACGTCACAGTTTTTGCTTGTTTACCATAGCGATTCCGCAAAACAAATTGTTTCATTCTACTATTCTATTACAATCACGATGTTATCTTTTAAATCATTGACAATTTCAAAGATTCAGCTGTATTTACGAGATAGAGGAATAGTGGCAAATGGTTATAAACAGAGAGATTTGGCCAGTTTATCTGAGGCGGTGGAAAAATTGAAGATTCCGTATGATCCCAATTTTCTAGCAGACGACGTCGACTCTACCCTACAAGATCGCCTGAGAAGAGCCGGTTGTAGTTTTTCAGACCCGCTTACCTTAGAAGGGTAATTAAGATAATTTTCCATTCATTTCTATGGCTTTTACCCTCCTCTGCATACTTATTTAAACCGGTTTTTGACCGTTTTTTACTAAGGGGTCCCA